TGTAGTGCAGCCACCGAGGCGCCACGACTGCCCGCTGCTTGTACCAAGTGCAGCGCAAAAATAAAATCACCGCTGGCTATTTCATAGTCACATCTTTGAGATTCGACCGAAAATCGCGCGCGATTGGCGGAGCGAGGGGATTTCCTTGCGATCTTTTCTCCCGGAGGGATCACACGCGGTTCAGAAACCAATAACGTCCGGTCGCCGTTCTCGTGTATCGGGCTCGCAGTCTGCGCGCTCACCGCTGCCCCCTCCAACGCAGCAGCGCTCCCGTTCGGTCGGGTCAGGTCGATTTGGCATGAGCCCCCCTTTCAGGGCGCTTTGCCTCCTGGCCGTGCTCATGAGACATTCAGTCTAAGCTCGCGGCCCGCTGCAATATAGATGCGGCCGCGTCGGCCCGGCGGAGAGGTGACCCGGGCGGGGGAGACCGGAGGGGTCGGCAGGGGGAACGGCCCCACTTAGGCTAATTTTTTAATGGCATGCGTAATTGCCCGTTGTTGTGTCTCGTCGCACGTACAACTTTTTCCTCGTCCGTTCTTTTTTCAACAGTCGCGCGGAACGCGTGCAAACCAAGCGACGTGTCGTATAAATGTTTCCCGCGACGTGTCCAGTCCACCACCTTGGTAATGTTTTTTTCCTTCACCCGCGCGTTACTGTTGTGAGCACACACGAGGCTTGCGCACGCTGCAGCACGCGGCCTGGTCGGGGGGCGCGGCGATCGCAGTACGGCACGTGACGAGGAGGCCAAGTACGGCGGTAAAGGAAACGCGGAATATTCCAACTAGAGATTTTGAGGTGATTTTTTTCAGAAAACAAGGTTTTCTTCCAAAAATTTGAATATTTCCAGAAAATTTTGAAGAAGAAAACGAAAAAGTTCAGACTTCACAAAAACAAAAGGTCCAAAAAATAACGTTTTGGAAAATTAAAGTCCCTGCAAAACTGATGGAAAATAAATCAACAAAAGGGCGCGCTTTGATGGACGAAAATTCGCCCAGCCTGCTGCTGCTGATCCAATCTGGTGAAGCCTGCCCGATCCAAACGGGCACGACTGGGGACTGGGTGCAGCGACCATAGCCACTACGACTTCCATTTAGCGACGCAGCGCACGGACGCGGAGCGCGAGTCACGCCCGGCCTGCGTGCATCACTGTCGTAGTACACGCGTGCGTGCGCGCGCGCACGCCCTGCACCGACCAACCCGCCTCGTTACTGGAGATGGAGGCGCTCACTGACAGTCGCAACACGCTGACAAGTTTATAATGTAGTATAGTCAAGTGTTTGGGGAAAGAGTAAGGGGTTTTCCCGACGGCACAAGACTGGAAATAGCGAGAAAGAGAGAAAGAGAGAGAGAGAGAGCTTGCAAAGGGTGCCGAGAGGGAGGTGGGGGGAAGGGATCGCGAGGGGGTGAGAGTGAGAGAGGTGCACGGCGCCCCCCGAGTGCTTGACCGTCTGTTTTTCCACGCCGCGCACTCCTCACCTGGCTCGCCGCCGGCCCCGCCGGCCCCGCCCCGCATCACGGCGTTGGGCGTGGCGCGGCGGCGGGCGGCGCCGTCCCTCCGGGGAATTGGCCGGGCCGAATGCGGGGAGTTCACTGCACTGCTTTGCGTCCTCCCCCCTCCTCCCCCCTTATCCGACTGGAAAGGGGGAAGACCCACCACCAGCACAGGAAATCAAACACAATCCCATCCCGTGTGCCACAAAGTGAGCGTGTTGCACACTCGCGACGTCCTCAGGAAATGGCAACGTGAGAGGGGGGGGGGTACTTTTATTTTCAGACGGATCACTGGCCGAGAAGTACTGTCCGTGTGTACATGCGTGTGTGTGTGTGTGTGTGTGTGTGTGTGTGATAGAGAGAGCGAGAGAGATCCGGGGAAAGGGGGGGAGGGGGGGCTCAGCCCATACACTGTCGACACTTTGTCACAGACTTTACGACGCCGCGCGGCTTTTCGCGTCACCCTCGTCCACAAGGAAAATTGCTTCCTTTTCTCTTTCACTCACTCACGCGTGCGCCTTTTAGCAGCATAGATAAAGGAAAGAAGGCGACCTTGCTGCTGGCATTCTAGACACCAGGGCATTACTGTTGGATGAGTTGGGACCGAAATGGACTCGGACGCTGATGACGTCGCGCTCACGGACCCGATACGCTGACGCGGTGGGGGGATTGGGTGGAGGGGGTGGAGTTCCAGCAGCGTCGAGCCGGCTCGGAGGCCTCCAGCCCAGCGCCTCGCATCCTCTCCAGCACCTCCAGCGGCGCAGCCCGGCGCGGTAGGCAACGCTCCGGCGGGGCTGCGGCCGGGTTGCCTGCGCTCGCCTTTCAGGATGGAGCTCCCCGCCAGTCTGGCCGAACTCCAGTAGCGGCTGCTCATCCAGGCGGGCTCACTGTGGCTTGCGTAGCGGCTCCATGTGAGGTCACTACTTGCTCCACGGGTCACACTGGCTCAAGGTGTGGTCACGGCGGCCTCCAGGTGGTGTCACGGCGGCTGCGGGCGGGGTCACACAGTGGCTCCAGGTGGGGTCATGGCGGCTTCTTGCGAGGTCACACAGTGGCTCCAGGTGGGGTCACAGCGGCTGCAGGCGGGGTCACACAGTGGCTCCAGGTGGGGTCATGGCGGCTGCAGGCGGGGTCACACAGTGGCTCCAGGTGGGGTCATGGCGGCTGCAGGCGGGGTCACACAGTGGCTCCAGGTGGGGTCACAGCGGCTGCAGGCTAGGTCACACAGTGGCTCCAGGTGGGGTCATGGCGGCTTCTGGCGGGGTCACACAGTGGCTCCAGGTGGGGTCACGGCGGCTGCGGGCGGGGTCATACGGCGGCTGCAGCGCGGCTCCAGCGCCTCCAGGCACGTTTTCATTCGGCGCCCCGTCTCGGGACCGCCGTATATGACGTCGTAAAGGAGGACGTTTATTGACGGAAGGCTTTATTGTCTCCTCTCCATATTTGTCCAGGAGAGACGCGGCGGAGGGGTAGGAAGGCGTCGAGGGGTGGGAGAGCGATGGGGTGGGGTAGGGCATGGGGGTAGGGTGGGCGCCAAGGCCCGCCTAGCCTTAACGCCGTTCGTTCAAACACATTTTCTAACGGGCGCCGCTCATTTGGACCAGGACCAAAGATGATGCGGGATATAACACCGTGCAGGCCGCCTGCCACCCTCCTTTGGCATCATCCTCGTCGTCTAGGGGAGGGGGGGGGGCGGTCTAGTGCCGTGAGAAGTAGAGGGTAACCGCGAGGTAAGGCGGGGGTCCCGCTCAAACTTCCAACTTCCGCGAGAGAGCCACAAGGAGTGCCGCCGCCCCGGCCTGGAGCAGTGTAACTCGTCGGGACGCCCCCAAGACACTGCCCCACCCCTCGAGCCGCCCCCGCCCCGGCGACAGTCTCTGCTTCTGGTCACGCAGGGAGTCAGGACTGCTGTTTGTAGGCACGTCCCTCTCCGGAAGTGCGGATGGGCACGAGGGCGGGGCGGACTGGGGGCAAGGGTGCAGGGGGGGGGACCTCTCACTCACTGTGGTGGTTGCCGTCGGCGGGGACGGGGAAGAGAAAAGAGAACGACGGCGTCCCTCGCGACCGTTATACGAGCAGCACGGCGGCAGCGCGGTGGGGCGTAGGGTAGGTGAGGGACGGGGAGAGGGGGAGGGGGGTTGAGGGCGAGGCGAGTCGACTAGTGTGAGAGGGTCATGTTGTTGCCACGGCTTGTGAGGCGTGGCGTGGCGTGGCGTGGCGCGGCGTGGCGTGGCGGCGTGGCCTTGGCGCCGCAAATATAAATCGGCCGATGCGCTCGCGGCGGCGCGGCGAGGCGAGGTGGCGGGGGAAACGGGGAGCCGCGGCATGAATCAGTCGGGCGAGGAGGAAGAAAGAGCGAGCGAGAGGCGGGGCGACGACAGCGCGCCGGCCGGCCGGCGGCACGCCTTTGCACAAACTGCTCGGGAGACACAAACTGCTCAAAACAGGAAGCCCCAGAGAGGAGACGATGCAGGGGGCAGCCTCGGCGCCCTGGGGGAAGCAGGAGTTTGGCAGCCGCAAGGACTCGCGGACTCGCATCACAGAGACGCGTCGTGCCCGATGTCCCCCAGGCCCCGACGACGACGACGGCGTGCCAGGCGCGCCGCGGGCTGTTGCCGCCCCAGATTCGCGGCCACTGGTCTGCGGTGGGACACCACGGAGAAAGGCGAGATCGGACGGAATGGACTGCGACTGCGGCGGGGAGACGCGGAAGTCGATCGCTGTGCGTGAGCGTCTGGGGAAATTACACTCCCTTTTGGTATACATATCCTAGCCGGCCGGCGCAGTCGGCAGCCAGTCGCCAGGGGCCCGGCGCGCACCTACGAGTCTCCCGCCCGCCGCCGGCACTGCTGAACCATCGGTTAAGGACCACCAAGCTTAGTAGTAATATGGAAACGGAACGGGGCCGAGCCGTTATCCAAGAAGAACACACAACTGCAATAGGAAATCTAGTCTCAATCAATTTCAGACATGTCTACCCAAGTTCTTGTAAAACAGAAAACATTTAAACATTGTTGGGATAAGGGTTGACCCGTTTCAAAACTCGAACTTCAGAGATGTGATAAGATATTCAGCTTAAGCAGCACACACACACACTGTGTATTAGTACAGCTCACTACTACTCCAATAATTAATTCATTCACAAAATAACAAATGTAGGTGTTATGTAAACATAATTTTGATTCCCCTAACACTACCAAGTGAGAAATACATTTTCATGCAATATTAAATTTGTAAGAAAAAAATAACGGAGAGCAAACATTTAATGGATAACATGTTGAGTCCCATGTGTCCACACGTGTGGCCATACATGGAAATAGGACCCCCTGGAACTTAATGTGTTTAACGACTGATTCTGATTCTGATTCTCTAATACCTGATATGGTTCTGATATCGTTCAAAAGATTTAATGCTACAGGCCTGGCACACATGTATACTACAGACTTTCAGTCAAAAATATGGTTTTCCAGACTCACTTGTCTCCTGGTAAGGTGTTTGGAATCTCTAAACACCACAGAGCACGCTTCAGAAGCACTGACACAAAACTGTAACTGAGCAACAGAATATGATATTACAAATTCACAGCAAATAACAGAACAAACAAAGTGGTACAACATCGGAGACTTACTTTACCAAATGAAATCGCAAAACACACTGAAATAGACTGCTCGGCTGAAACTAGTCACTTAAACATTCTCACAATGCGAGCCAGCGAATCTGCGAATGAAAGACAAGCATGACGGTAGTCCTCTTAACCTCATTTCTCAATTTACGTCACATGCGGAAATAAATGATACCAGTCAACTAACCAAACGCTTACCAATAAGCAACGGAAACACAACTATAGTCTAGAAAATCGATTGATCAGTAAATTTTAAATCGCGTGTTATGATGAAAACTTCCAACAGCAACTACACTGGCAAACCTCAGCTAAACAGAGTGACAGCAAACGAGAACGAGGGGCGAGGGTTGAAGCACAAAGCAAAGCAGTAGTGGATGTGAACCCCGGATCTCACATACGGATACAGATGCTCAGAGCACAAGAGTGAAAACGACTTCCGGCAAGTTGACTGCGAAGACTGCCGCAAACTGCGAATAGTCAATGGTCAACATCACCGAACTCCCAGACTTTCTGACGCCCTGTCCCGATCTCGGAAACATTCTTCGACAATATTTGTGTTTCGTTTACCTTTTTGCATGACAAATACAAAATTGTTGGGAACTGCGTCCGAGATTGGAACCGGAAGTTAGGAAAGTCCGGGCCGGGAGCTCCGCAATACCCCTCTACCGGTATGTGATAAGTAGCTACAAACAGGGATGTGGCTTGATCTAGCTCCAGCAGCAGCAGACCGCGCTGCCTTGCGCCGTGCTGATAGGCAGCTCTCCTCACTCCCCTGTTCGACGAGCTGCGGCTGCCACGGCGCCGCCCACCACTGCGAACGAGACAACTCCCGATGAAGTGACGGGAAACAACGAGGATCCGATCCAACTCAAAGGAGTTACGAGGATGTAACCACGTCCGAACCGTGCGTCAACAGCATTGTTGTCTACGAACCAAGTGAAGTGAGTGACTGACGCTGACGAGGGAGTGACCACGTCTCCGGATGTCCACAGCATGTTTATGACACAAGTGAGTGACTGTCGAGATAGGGAATGACCACGACCACAAAGTTAGTCGTTGGGAATGGCCAACTACAGCGTTTCTGTAACAGTCCAATTTTTATTAGCCTTCAAAAAAAGGGGGCATGTAATTTTAATAAATTGATTTATTTATGAATCCATATCTGGATAAAGCAAGGGGGGGGGGGCTTCGTGAACCCGTTCATCAGCTCAACGCTGCCCCTCCCCATGCCTCTCCCACCCTGAGCTAAGCTCCCGCCCTGAGCTAAGCCAAAGAGCTTTTGCTGTGGCTTGGGGCGAAAAGGATGGGGAGGGGGGGAGCAAGGGTGCGCGGGGAAGTGGCGTCAGGGGTTAGGAAAGTCCAATTAATTATCAAGAGGACTTTGCTCGGGGATCCCGCCGATATGTTTTCCAGTGGGGACCAGCTTAAACGCGGGGCGCATGGCGCTGGAATCTGACAACAGATCTCTGGTGTAACCCTACAGGGCAGCGGCGGCGGCGCCAGCGTCGGGTATTTGGAAGTTGCAAGGCGCTAAGGTCGAAATGTTGAACGAAATATCTTCGTCGCGTCCGGCCACTGAGGTCAACGAGGTGTCCCCGCGGACATCTGCCTTTCTGCAGCTAAAGAGCGCCGACCGCCGGCCGCTGACTCTACTAAGGGGCGCCAGTTTAGTGAAGTGCGGGAGCAGCGCACTGCCCTCCACGGCAAGTTCTCGCCGAGTTTGTAGCAGATGAGCAGGCCTTTGGCACCGAAGCAGTAATTTTATTTCCATCTCAACGACTAGACGGCACGAAACTACTGGTACTCTAACCCCCCTCCCAGACCGTCGCCGGCCGGCTCACTCGTCGGCACAAAAGCCCCCAAGTGGGAGCCGAGCCAGCCAATGCAGCCAGCGGCAGGGCGGCGCGTCGGGCACCCGTACAAAAGGTAGCGTAGGGCTGCCCAGCGGGTACCGGCCCAGGGGTACCAACCTCGCAATCCGTTTTGCACCTGAAAGTGGATAAACATGCGCCGGTCTGGTCGCTCCCCCCGCCCCCCTCCCCCACCGTCATGCTCCTTCTCTACCAGGTGGAGCCGTGCCAAAGTCGCTAGCTGCTGCTGCTGGTTGACATTCAGGTCATTACCGTCTTGACATTTAGGCTGGGCCGGGCTGGCGGGTGGTCGACCGAGCGCACCTGTAAAAATGGTGCGCGCGCGTGTGCTCCCCCTGCCCCTCGCCAGCGCCCCAAATAGCCTCGCGCTCGGCCGCACCCCTCGCGGTGCACCTTGGCGCGGGGCCGGGGGCCGCGGCGCCCCCCACCTGTCGCCTGCAGCCCCCGCCTCCATCCTGCTTCTGCGTCGGCAAGCAGATGTGTGGTACTGGCGGTATGGTCGAGCTTCGCCGAGTTCAAGGGATAACTTTACTCGAGAAAATCATTGTACAGCTCACAAAACAAAGAAACAGAAAAAAAAAACAAGAAAAGAAATCAATAATACTTTTTTAAAAAATCAGAGAAAAAAAACATCATGAATGTTGAAAAATCAATAAAGTCAAGGGAAATCAAGAAAATGTTGGTGTAGACTTGAATTTATAGTACCCCACAGTGGAGCACAGCGCCCCCTCGCATTTAAGTGAAGTACACCTCACTCAGCTAAGCTGAGCGCCCTTTCCTCCTCCTTTTGCCGTGCAAGTTGCAGAGAGGCGATCGCGACTGAGAAGATACACCCATAAAAATTCTTTCTAGTTTCAACGACATTTTTCCTTGTTTCAAGTAAATGCAGCTCCAAGATCAATTTTACTCTTGAAGCTGAAATTATCTTTAGAATAAGAGAAAAATGTTCTTTCAAAGACAACACTGGTAAAGCAAAGGTAGGATATCCTACCTTGAAAAGGCGTTAAAGCTCCAAAATCATTACAATTTATGTTTTTTTCGAAATATTTATTTCCCATGAAACAAAATTGGATTCTGAAACCTATTTCCGTAATCTACACGAAATTCCGCGTCAAACGAACCTACATATGATGGGGGTCTGTTGTTCAAAAATGGCATAGATTGATTTCATTTTTTGTACTTTTTGACTTGCCTTTCATTTGCTGACCTCTAATCTGAACCCTATCACATGCAGGCTCGTTTGGCGCGGAATTTTGCGAGGAATGCGATAGTGAATCTAAAAATGTGATTGGTTTGCTCATATAGAAAATATTTTGAAGAAACTGAAAATATTCTCTTTAGCATCCCTAAAACGAGTTTAACACCCCTGGAAAGGTAGGACATCACACCTTTGTTTTTCCAGTGAAAATATTGACTTGTTTCAAGAGTGAATTTAACCTTGAAGCAGCATGCTCTCGAAATAAGAAACAATTTTTCTGGGTGTACCCGATACGCATATTCTGTCCATATCCTTCTTTTTCGCGCTCTGTCATGTTTCCTCTCGCCCGCTGCTCTTCCCACTCTGCCGGGCGCGGCGCGCGAGGGGGTGGGGTCTCGCCAGCATCCCCGGCGCACGCAAGTGGAGTTTGTGAGCGAAATAAAGTCTGGTAGAGCGAGCAGGCGCGTCGTGTCTCATACACGCAGCGCGGCCGGCCGCCGGGGCGTTCCAGCGGGCGTTCCGCCGTGCTCGCCGGCGCGGGCGTTCCTCGCGAGGTGTTCGTGTCTGCTCCGGACGTGAGATGTGAGAAACTCTGGCCGAGCGTTCCCTGCCGCCGCGCCGCCTCTTGCACAGTGCTGTCTCACGCTCTCCATCTCTCTCTCTCTCACTCGTCCGATCCTGGCCGACCGTCTCCCCCCCCCCC